CAGGGTAGTCTTGTCGTCTTGGTATAGGACATTATTGATGGTTGAGAGGACCTATCAACCATCTTTGAAGTCACCAAAGATCAAAGTATGTGGCAAATACAATTTGTTGCATCTTAGATTTTCTCAACAAATGATGATTGTATCTTATGGAACTTGTCTCAAGAAGGGAGAATAATGTCACAAATATATTGTCATAGACATACATACTTACTCTAATAATTTCCTATATGATTAAATAGAAATAGATAAAAATAAATTAATTTCATAATATTTTTTAAAGGAGCTTCTTAGAAGCTTTATAAACACAATTTTGATTTACACTTGTTTATAGTTGTCTTTCAGATTAAAAACCTCGTCAACAAGTTAATCATGTATCACACGTGAGGGTAGCTTATGGAATAAGCTAACTATATGGTGCACACATAGAAAACTTGTCTTGCAAGTTAAGACATATGGCTTACGAAGTCAATACATATTAGAGATCCTATACAATGTTGTCATGTAGCTCTTAGGTGGATAATGTATATAGAGGTAAGAGTGAAGTCTTCTTCACTCTTGTCAATTCTTTTCTTATTCTAATTTAGATTCAAGAGTCTTTAGTTTTCTTGTCTTTTGGCAATAGCCATTCAAGTTTATTTTTAATTTACATATTTTATTACTTCTATTTTGTCATATTTCTTTAAAAAAAGACTAACTTGGTTATTTGCTTTCATTAGGTTCTTATCTTTGACAAATCCCTTCAATCAAATATATTGCAAATTCAATGATTTCTAAAAGCATATGAGACTTCTCTTATATCAACAACAAGGCAAACATGTTGTAGATCCATGATCCTTGATTGTAGATATGTGCAAAGATGCTACTTAGTTCTATCCATGAACAACCATGCATATAGAACTCAAAAGCATCTAGAAAGATTTTACTGATGTTGGCCAATTTGATTCTCATTATCATACACAAATTCACAATTAGAATCTTGATCTTCGCAGTCTACTACAATAAAATCATTTTTGAAGATTGCAACATGACTAGTATAACATTACAACTTTCTAACATGGAATGTATCACAATACATATTATCTACTATGATGATGTTGGTGTAGACTATAGATTCTTCTCTGCAATCCAAAGTAGCAATTAGTGACAATGGTAGAGTTTCTACTCCAATATTGAGACAAAACGAGTCCAACAATTTGTGTCTTTTGGGTACTTCAAGTCCATTTCCAAGACAAGATATTGCTATACTTAAAAATGAACATTGAATGCATACGCCATCTTATAGAAGTTGCCTAAGTTTTATATCAATAATTCTTTTTTGATTACAATATCAACTTGATGCATAAGATATCAAACATAAAGCATTTATTTGCTTGCTTCCTTGTCAAGAATGGTGGCTATACCATTGTGCCAACTTATCATGGTATTTTTGCAATCCTAACTGAACGAATCACTTTATTGCACCAATCAAAATATATGCTATCTAACATTTTTTATATTAACAAGGAAAATTTGAGATAGTATGATACTCAAGAAATGGAACATCAATGAAATGTAAGTTGTAAAGCATACCATCAATGCAAACTTGGATTTAAATATCAAAGAATGATATCCTTCAATGGCAAGAACTATCTCCAACTAGGATGAAGGATCATACAAATGCATTATTGAGAATGTCGGAGATGATTTGCAAGTTTATACCTATAAGAATACAAATAAACTAGTTGACCATGTGGTTATTGAAACTAGCCAATTTTGGATTCTTATGATGGTTGATAATCCCTACAGTTTGTTGGAAGGAAAGGCTAACCAATACATGCTTCAAATTGAGTTTGAATTAGATTCATTATTGAGAATGTCAGAGATGATTTGCAAGTTTATACCTACAAGAATACAAATAAACTAGTTGACCATGTGGTTATTGAAACTAGCCAATTTTGGATTCTTATGATGGCTAATGATCCCTACAGTTTGTTGGAAGGAAAGGCTAACCAATACATGCTTCAAATTGAGTTTGAATCAGATGGGATTCTTAATCTTGACTAAATACAAACTGTTTGGCTATTTAGAGAACGATTTTAGTGCATTTTGTTTTATATTGGCTTTGGAATCATCTTCTTCATCATCTTCTAGATGGAAGCATACATCACCAATGATGTTTTCAACAATTGAAGCCAAAATCTCAAAGTGGAACTTATTGCCAAAAGTATCCAAAAATGTATTGATGGTCAACTTCTTATTTACAAAATATGATTTCTTTGCTTCATTGGTCAACAATTTACACTCTTCCCATTCACTAGAATGCAAGTTTATGACCATGATAGTTTTCTTTGTGGAATAGTCGCTTGTAGAATTGAACATTCATAATGAGCTGACCCTTCACACCGAGCCAATCTCAAGCCTCACAACCATTGTGCATACAAAACAAACACTGAACTGAAGAAACAACCTCGTGAACATCGCAAGCACAAATCTCAATCCCAAATTCAAGAGCATTCTGAGGCCGGAACGGCGTAGCGCCCTTCAACATGGAAAGTACTGGTCGGAGGGCCAAGATGCGCAAAAAAAATTTGCAATTTTGTTCAGAACAAAAAGAATTCTCAATTTCGGCGCCCAGTCTGTTATGTATTCGTCAAATTCGGAGTCTATTTTTAGAATTCCGAAATTTATGAGGCTCGCAGTAGAGTCAACAGCGAAACCCAACTCTAAGAATATGACCACAATTAAGCTACTGTAAACACGTTCCCTGTGTTTGACTTCATCTGTTGGTTTCTAACCAATGCAATCACATTACTCCAAACCACAAAATTAAAATTTTCATCAAGTCCGCGACATTCAATACAGACCTTGATGGATAATACAGAATTAAAGTGTACTAATCTGTATCTGAGCTTTGATTTTGCAATTCTGCACTTTGCAAAGGGCCATTCCGAAATGTGACCCTAGAATAAGTGGAGGGCTAATCGTCATCCCTCCAGTATATAAGTATAATACACAGGATACAGCCTCTCTCTCACTCCTCTATCCCTAAAATTCATCCTAGCTTAACTCTTTTGTTGAGTGTTGATCAAGGTAATTGGTGGCAAAGGGATCACTTCATCAAGACACTAGCTCCTTCAAAGAATCAATACTGTAGCTACAATCTACAATACAACAATCAAGCGAACGCGTTGTTCCTGACCTCGTTCTCAGAAGCCTCGAATGTCTGTTGAATCTTCTAAAGCGGTGTTGCGTTACTTTCACACAGCCCAGCCTTCAGAGGAGATTAATTAAGCCTCACAGGAACCAGCTGATTAGCTCCTGTGCGCAAATACACCCTGCCATGAGCCCACGGTTGCCCTGGCCCCGACCAAGATGGATGCAGCGTCGCCTGAAACATAAGCTGTCGATCACAGACATGGCATTCCGACTCATGCCGTATCTCCAGAGACGAGTAATTTGGCCTCACGAAGGTGTAAACCTCCGCTCCACAATTGGGACAGCAACCCTTGAGCGCCATTACGTCTCCCTGCCCTAAGGCTTGCAGCTGCTTCGCTGCGGACATGGCTACAGGAGCTCCAACCAAGAAGCTGACAACCGAGAAAAGCACCCGATTCATGTCTGACAAGACGAAGGCACCGGGCTCATAAGCACTGATGCTCATGTAACGTGTAATTAGGACTGGAAGGACCACGGCAAGACCTAACCCTAGAGCGAAGAGGAAACCCCAAACGGTAGCCAAAGCTCGCATCTGAGAGGGGTCAAATTCCGCATCCGCGTAGGCCGTGTAACGCTTCAAGCTACACCGGGGGTACTTAACGACCAAATTTGATTTGTGAAATCGTAGCTTCACCTCCACCTTGTCGAACATGTCGTCTACGACTAGAGGCTGTCCACTGTAGTAGGAGTCTCGAGCCTGCTGGTAGAGTGCCTCTAATTGCGCTTTCTCGGCAGTCTCAATTGGACCCACGAAAATGCAAGAGGGATCATCTGTGCAACTCCCTGCCATCCAAGCAGCTGCAACAACATAACTCCGCAACACCTTAGGTCTAAACCTTCCCTCTTTGTTGTCGACTGTTGAAATTTTACCTCCACTCAAATTGGGTCTAAGAATCCCAAATTTCGCACCATGACCACTAGAGCATCTTGAATGCATACTCGCCACTGTACATTGAGGACTGTTCTTTCCACCGTTAATAACATCACATACTAACAATTTGCCGCCAACATCCAACCTACACGATTCGCTCTCAGCCCGAAAGCTTCTCGTCTCCGACACTCCCATCCACCATGCTCGATTAGTAGCAGGAAGTATATGCAACAATCCAGCCATTCCTCTGAAACCTAAAATCGATTTGCCACAGCTCAATCCAGAACCGCCCTGCTCCAAATTTTCTTTGTCAAGAACAAATTCGGGCTCTAATGCCCACTAACCACTACTAGATCTTCATGAGACGAAGAGCATACGTAGTTAGAGCAGAACCAAACCCGATTTACTTCGTCCAGTTGATGTTGATGATGAGCCTACAGTTCTCGCTTCAACTTTCCCACCGCCTGATAACGATGTGCGACCATCCTGAAAAACACTAGTGCATGGCAAAGTATCTGCTGGAGAGCCTGGTCCTTAATTCAAGAGGGTGGATGAGGAGTGTCGTGGGCCGTGCTTAAGCGGTTATGGAAAGCGTCCGAACGACATCCGTTGATTGGATGGGGATCAAGTCAACTGACTTGTATACACCTTAGTAACAGCAAAAGCCTTTTCTTAATAGCGGTTGGAATCGGTTATCGACGAACTCAGATTGGTTCGAAGGATGAAAGAGAATGAGACAAACTCCAAGATAATATCTCCAGTTACATGAAGCCTGTAAGCCCAAGTGGCACCCATCAAGGGTCGTGATAAATCACTCAGCGCATACATCGGTTAGAATGATACACAAAAAGGCAAAGGGAGAATAGGATAACAAGCTAAAATCAAGCAATGGCCACCTTCACGGCCACACATGAAGGATTCCAACTGAGCTTACTGACGCAAATATAAATGTATGAATGTTATTTGAAATCAACTTGTACAAATTAAGCATCACGAGTTCATGTAAATGTTTTTGTAATGCTCGGGTCTCAGTGGCGTGAAATAAAATGCACTCGTAATATTTATAGACATACCCCACAGCTCAGAAATCTTGCTACAAGTACATACTTTACACAAGCATTGTCGTGATCGAAAGTAGGTCACAACCTCAACCAGCGCTACAACGGAGACGCTGTCGTATGCAAATAAGTATAACTAAATTAATCATGAATCCTAAACACCTAAATCCTGCAGTAACATTTGTATCATCTGGCTGTAGTATTTAAAATGGAGGTCAACACTCCGAGCACAATAAACGCCAGCATAGGACTCAAGTCGAGAGCATTAAAAAGAGGGGGGATAATGTTTCTGAAGAGATTCAAGTAAGGGTCACACATGTCACGAACGGCTTGAAGAGGTTGCCTCTCCCAAGGAATGTTAGGAAACCAACTAAGAAGCACGCGCACCATCAACACCCCGCTGTAAATCTCTAGCCACTTCGCCATGCCACTGGCAACGACCGTCAGAGGCGTACTCACAGATCCCGGAGTTTGGCTAATCGAAGCTAAAAAGAGAGGTCCAACGGCCAACACCAACCTCCCCTTCAAAGCGCTCACAAGCTCATTTTCAGCATTTGTGGAGCCGTCAGGGAGTGGAGTGCCGATCAAAGTTCTACCCAAGGCCTTCACAGCGCCCACCACGGCTTTCACCACCACTGCCACAACTATAACCGCTGTGGATACCACTGCGCTTGCCACTTCTGCGTCGTTGCTGCCTGTCGAATTATCCACCGCAGAGACACATCTTACAGGAAAAGACCCCGACTTGGCCTTAGCCTCTCTCCCGTCGCTCAAATGGGACACATTTCCAATCCATGGTTGCGACAATTTCATCATCAATTCCTCTTCTCCCCTGAGCAACCTCGCATCGCCGTCCCTGACTGCAAAAATAGCTCCGCTCACCGATCGCGGCAAACGATGGCATTGAGAACTGACCCTCTTTAATGCACATTGCGTGCGTAATCTGCAGGGGGAGGTTGCGCCCATCGCAGAAGCCATAGTGATGAAATCGACAATTCGCGCAGCTGATGCGCAATTGCTCAGGTTTCAAGAATTGTGGTTTTCCCAGAGGCTTTCTCTCTCGAACCTTCTTGTTCGAAGCTTTAGCTTTCTTAGGGTTTGGGGAAAGAGCGGTGGCTTTTGTACAGCCTACCCACACTCATCCTCTTTTTCAGTATGTATTTAAATATCGGCGTATGAAAATTATTTCGGATTCATGCGCTTTATCACTTTAAACACGAGGTTGATGTAAGATACGATTTTAATATACTCATACAATCTGAACACATTTTCGGGTTTTTTGCGGGAAAAAAGTAAAAAAAAAACAAACAAACAAACAAAAAATAAGATATATATATAGTAACAATTTATTAGTGCCAATTGTTACAATTCATTGATGTCATGTTCCTAATTTTGAAACCAAATCTATCCTACTATCAACATGTTTAAACAAATACATGGAAGCTAGTAGTGTTATACTCTTTTCCCTTTGTTTCTCTTTTCTAGTTCTATCATCCATCCACTCACAATCAATGAAAGTAACTTCTTCTACATAATATTTATTAAAATATTTAGTTTAACTTGTTTTAAAGTAATGTTATTAACATCTCAAAATCCTAGACATTTACATCTAACGTAATATGAAGCCGACGACGAGTAGGAGATACTTCGTACAAAATAAACACCGAAACTTTAATGTCGGTATGCTCAATACGTGAGACTTCCGCATTTACACTGGCTATGGAAGGGAGACCTCAGAATCCCGACTTCAATGGCTCATGCAAATTATCAAACTTCGCGTGTGCTTGATCTTTAACAAATCAATAAAGAAAATTGTTGCTTTTAATATTTGAATTAAATGTTAATAGCATTTTCAAAGATTCTGTATCAACTTCTTCATCCAATTGGTGTATGGGTAGATGAATAAAATTATTATGTTTATGAGCAATAAGTTGCTGACACATAGCATGTTGGATTCACGGTAGAAATATAGAATGATTTATTTTTACATTTGTGAATTAACATGCATGATTGGAATCCCCAACTAAAAGTTACCCATCAATAGAAATCACACATATTTAATAAAGTTCAACATAATAATGCAATTATATTTTATTTATCTGAAGTTGCAACAAGCCATTCATTGAGTTACATTTAACATTAACGTGTAACCAACATACTATTTCACATCTGTTTTTTTATTTTTTTATATTCTTATTAAATATATGAAGTGATATGTTTTTTAATATTTATAAAAATATATATATATAAACTCTCTAATTATGTAATCTTATTCAATAATATCTGTGACATCTTTGGGGGGTTCTTGTATGAAAAGTTTAAGAAAAAATATGTTAAAATTAATTTCAAACCAGAAATTTTCATTTTGATATGTCTCAATAAAAGCATTGTCATTGTCTGAGTTTAATATTATTTTTTAATTTTTGTAATATTCTAAACCAAATAATTCATGTTATTTTTCTTTCATAACTTTTAATGAATTGAAATAAAGGCCATTGCTGATACCAGTATGAATACTTTAACAATAAATTTCTTGCATCATTTGTTTATTATCTAAATAAATATATAAGATGTATAATATTAATAAAAATCGTGCATATAACTCACTACAATTTTTTCTTGTATACATATATTTTCATTGAGTGATTTGTATAATAATAATATTATATCAATTTGGATATCAAATAATTGTTTTTTAATTTTCTTCAGGAAATTGTTTATGGTAATCACTCTTTTCTTCTTTCTATTTTTTATTTTATGTTTAACAATGAAAATTTTGTCAATCTAACTAATTTTTTTAATTTAAGTAATAGTTAATAGATATATTAAAAATTATAATTGAATAATATATAAATTAAATTTATACATATAATATGTGTATCATTTTATTATTTATTTATAACTTAATATTATTTATATATATTTTTAAAATAATAAATTATATATTGTAATTTATTCCATTATCTTGATATTTTAGTATTTCTTATGAGGCTTATTTAAGTAAAAAGGTATTAATTATAAATCATGATTGAAACATCTATTGAAATAATATCCACAAAACCTTATTTCATGGATTGTGAGAATTGGTGCACCTCAAAAATTATCTCAAGTAAAATATTGTTAACAAAAATATTTATTGTCTATAAATTAATTAAAAAGAGACTTATGTCGACACTTAATGTATCATGTATTTTTGCAATGATATATAATAGAATAAATTTTATTATAAATTTATTCTTTTTTTACTAAATAAATTTTATTCATATATTACTTTCAAAAAAATTAGTGTAAACAAGAATTTTATTGTATGAATGAAATGGTTTATTGTACATGGTAAAAGGACCTATCCATAACAAAAAAAAAAAAAAAAATATCCACCTACCAAATCTTTCAATTTAATATTTAAAAAATAATAAAATATATTAAATAATATTCAATTTGATATTCAAATTAAGAGTCTTATGAAAAAAAAATTCATAACAAAAAAAAATAAAATAAGAATTTATTAGGCATTAGTTGATTTTTATCAAGGATATGAATCTTCAAAAATTGAAAAATCAAATCACTCTTGTGTCACTTAAAAAGATTAGATAATCACTCAAAGATAATATAATATTAAATTAGAATGGTTATTGTCAAAGAAAAAAAGATTAGAAAGACTTGAAACGAGACTAAAGACTAGAAAGGCATTAACAAGAGTAAAGAAGGCTTTATTCTTGCCTCTATATATACTATTCAACTAAGAGCTGCATGGCAATGTTTTATAAGACCTCAAACACACATTAACTTTGTTAGACACATGTTTTAACTTGCAAGGCAAATTTTTTATATGTGAGCTATATAATTAGTTTATTCCACAAGCTATCAACACATGTGATATGTGGCTAACTTGTTGACTAAGTTTTTAAGCTACCAATTAACTACAAACATGTATAAAGTCAATATAAACAACATCTATGAAGCTTTTAGAAATCTTCTATAGAAGATATTATGAAATTAATTTATTTTTATCTACTTCAATTTAATCATATAGATAATTATTATAGTAAACATATATGTTTGTGACATTATTCTTCCTATTAGAGACAATGTTCCACAAGAAGTAGTCATTATATGTTAAAAAAATCTAAGATGTAGTAAATTATATTTGCTACATACTCTAATGTTTGTTCTCTTTGAAGATGGTTGATAGGTCTTTTGAGCCATTGATAGTATCTCATACCAAGCCAAGAAGACTACCATATTATTTGATTATTATTGAGGCCTTTATAACTCTCTTCAAATAAAGCATTTGGAATATTATGAGGAATTTTTTCTTCTTCTAATAAAATCTCCAAACATTAGGAGTCTCTTCCAAGGTTGTGATATCAAAAAATTATACCTTGCCATCTATTTGAGAAATGACATGTGATTCTAGATGATCTTCATCTTGATTATATTGTCATATTATAATTATTTATAGTATAAAAAAATTAAATAAAATATAAAATATATTTATAAATATTGATGTGCATTAGAGTAGTTAGTAGGTTAATTTTACGAGAGTTGATAAAAGAAAATTTATTTTGATGTTTACTTATGTTGATTATAGTATTTAAATTATATAGGATTTAGATATTTAGTATAAAATTTAAGGAGAATATTGGAGCTTAAAGATGAATATCCAAACCACTAAGAAACTTATTTGAAGGAATGAAAGCAAGGTATGGATGGATGAAGGCAAAAAGTAAAGATTTTCATCTTTATTGGTCAAAGGCCATGTCCAACAAGCATTTAGCAAGCTATGTGCGACCATAATAAGGATTTCAGCGACTTTAGAAGGGCATTTGAGAATCAAAAGCAAAAGTTATAAGATTTAAGATTTAGGCTATAATTTGTGTACAAATTTTAGAGGATTTGGAGTTAGGGTGACAAAGTTATAGTTGTTTGAAGTTAAGATTTCTTTTTAAGACATATTGTTGTTCTTTTGAGGATAAAAATAGTTTTATGATAGATTTTGGAAATTAAAAGATGCGGATATAAGAGTGATTTCAAGATCTACATCTTTTATGAAAGAATTTTTGCATTTTGAGTTTTTATAAAGAAGTTATAAAGCATTGAAGATAGCATATGTAATTCAAAGGTAGTAAGTGAGTCATTTTATTGATAGTAATGGTTAGAGCCATATCTTGAGTTTTCAAATGAATTTTCAGCTCAATTTTTTTAAAAGTATGTATTATTAAGTAAAAAAACTATATATTAAAAATTTATGGTATTTTAATATTTATTTTATAAAATATAAAGAAAATTGCATACAAGTATATGTAAGCAAGGATTTGAAGCTGTTGTTATGATTTTGGCGATATCTCAAAATCTATAATGAATTTGTAATTGAAATTTGTTGTGGTAGTTGTTAAAAGTACATCAATACTTCATATAAAACTTTAATTTGTTTGGATAGTCCAATCGTGAGAGATAAGCTATTGAAGTATAAAAAAAATTCACCTTGAAGATATAAGATTTTATAATATTTTTATCACATTTTTGGTGATCTTTGGCACTTAAGGCTTATATATTGATGTAATTACCTATATAGGAAAAATTTTATATATAAAATTGGTATTTTTTTTAATTTTGAGGCTTGGTTGAGCAATTAGTGACAGCCAAAAGCCTAGTGCTTTCTTAAAGCAAATTCTCTCTACCTCGACAATGTCATGTTGAAGGTTGTTACAATTGCAATGACTCATTAAGTAAGTCAAAAAATGAATGCTCTTGAGTTGAATCTACTAATTAATGATTCTTCATCTCCTTAATATTATAAATATATAAAAATTAGAAACTAAAATAGAAAATAGATTCTTATATTTCTTAAATCTTGTTTATTTTATAGCAAAAGATTGTTATTTTTTATCTTAATTTTAATGGATGTTGACAAAGCAAAGTTATCAAGGGCATGAATCTCAATAAAAGAAATCTTTAAAACACTCTTATATCACTCAAAAAGACTAGAAAATCACTCAAAGATGATATTATATTGAGTTAGAATGGCTATAGCTAAAGACAAGAAGATTAGAAAGTCTTGAAATAAGACAAA